CTAAGTCACTGTAGCATTGGCTGGGGAACCCATTTCTCTCCTTTTGTATTACCCCTTCTTTTTTTGTATCTGGTGATCTTTTTTTTTTTTTTTTTTTTTTTTTTTTTTTTGCGGTACGCGGGCCTCTCACTGCTGTGGCCTCTCCCGTTGCGGAGCACAGGCTTTGGACGCGCAGGCTCAGCGGCCATGGCTCACAGGCCCATCCGCTCCGCAGCATGTGGGATCTTCCCGGACCAGGGCATCAACCTGCGTCCCCTGCATCGGCTGGCAGACTCCCAACCACTGCACCACCCGGGAAGCCCAGGAAAGCTATTTTTATTTGAAAGATTATGTGCAAAATATCTTATACAATATCCTTACGGCCTTAATATCTTTTTTGAGATACTGGTTCCTACTATAAACAATATTGAAATTCTCCCTCATTTCCCTCTCCCAAAGCATCTAATCTGAAGTAGTATCCTTTTATTTCCTGATAGTACCTATAGGACAATCAGCAAATATATTCCATTTTACTTACACTGTCTCCCTTCTCCCATGTTTAGAGTGTTGTGCCTTTAGCTACTGTGTCAGCCTTATAATCACATGATACATGCTTACTATCTCCTTAGTCTATCCTGTAGTTCTAGTTCTCCTCAGTAAGCAGCTTTGTTCTGCAAAGCAGTTTCGGTTAATTGGAGAGTTCACAGGGCCTGAACCACCACCCCAGCACCACCTGACCTTTCTTGAGTCTATAGTCACCTCCCCAGTTTCAGCTGCTCTCAAATTGGTCTGCTGAACTTTCCACACCAAATGGGGCCTCTCTTCTTTAGAGATGAGTACCTGTTGGTGACTTGATTTTGGGATTCTTGGAGCCTTCCCTCTGCTCCTTACCACATACTTTCTGATACCACACCAGTCTTGATGCTGCTGCTGATTTGATCTTACCCACCTATAGTCTGGAGTTCACGGGTGTTGTAAAATATAGAATTTGACTGATGTTTGTCCCTGGTTCTTGGGAGGAAGACTCTAAAACCTTAGGAATTGTCTGAGTGATAGGAGTGTCTGTCTTTATTATTCACGGGCCCCTACTAGGATCACACCTGACTTTACTATGCTAAGGAGTGACTCAGGATGGGGGAAGGCAATGCCAGAAAGACAAATCATGTGACTAGAGGGGAGGGCTGGGGCTTTGAGTCTTATTATTGTCCTCCCAATCTCTTGAATTCCAGGGAGGAGGGCTGGAGATTGAGTTCAACCACACGGCCAATGATCCAATCAATCATGCCTAGGTAATGCAACCCCAATAAATGTCCTGAACACTGAAGCTCCATAGAGCTTCTTGGTTAGTGAACACACTGATGCTAGGAGGGTGACACATCCTGATTTCACCAGAAAAGTGTACAGAAACTGTGTTCAGGACCCTCCCAGACCTCACCCTACATGTCTCTTCATTTGACTAGTAGGGATTTGTATCGTTTATAATAAAACTGTAATTGTTAAATATAGCCTTTTCTTCAGTTCTGTGAGTCACTCTAGTTAATTACAGAACCTGGGGGAGTCATAAGAGCCTTTGAATTTGTAGCCAGTTAGTCAGAAGTGCAGGTGGCCTGGGGACCTCTGAACTTGCAGCTAGCATTTGAAGGGTAGTTTTAGTGGGGACTAAGCCCTTAAGTAGCCTGATGTTAACCCTTGGTGGTTAAGTGTGAGAATATACTGCAGTACACCTACAGGGATACCTTAAAGCTTGGTTTGTTGTATATGTTGTCCATGGGTTGTTTGTTAACTGTTATCCTAGTTGCTCTTCTGTTTTTGGGAAAGGATTTGGAAGACTCAAAAACTATGCCACTGTTATACTAACTCATTTTGTTGCTAGTTCTTCTTTGGAATTTATGTTAACTTAGTACATCACCCCCAACTCCCCACTATTTCAATATTTATCATCGTTTCACAGGTATTAACAGAAGATTAAATCACCAAGATTACACACTAAGGCCACTCTTAGTGTTGATTAGAACTCATCTGCAGTTTACTTTATGGGATAAAAAATGCAATAAAAGCTACTAGTTGCTGCTTGGTAACAGTAACAACTATAATTTATATTGGTTAAGAAAGCAGACATGAGACTGGTTTTCAAGTGACTAAATCAGGGACTCTAATTCTCTTTTTTGATTATTACCACACCTCCCCCAATCAATTAACATAAAATGCAGAATACATACAAAGGGGTTCAAATATTGCTTCCTCATCAGCAGGATGCATTAAATTTGTAAATTAAAGAGCATAAAAAAACTGCATATTGCAAGGCATGATATACACACACACACACACACACACACACACACACACACACACACACACACACACATTTTCAAACTGGTCTGAAGCCCCAAAATAAAAAATAAAAGCAAACATTTTACCTCTGTGAGACGTAGCTGTGATGAAGCAGCCATATAATCTGATTCTAATTTGTTCTTCTCAGAGATCACTGTAGTATTTTCAAGAATTAAATCTACTTTTTGTATATGCAAAGAAGTACAAATCTAGGAATAAAAAACCCCTATGAGTTTGTTTTACAACTAAGAAAAACAATAGTTTCTTTTAAAAAACAAAATTATAAACCATGAAAAAAATAACATTTTTCTAATGTGACTGATACCTCTCTCAAATAATTCTTTTTATAATTTTATTCTAAGAGAATTTTAAAGTTTTCTTATATATTTGAGTCATCTGGAATAAAGTAATTTAGCTTAATGAGTACTTTAAACCAATTTACTGATCTATAATGAGAAATGTCCAACAATAGAGAGCTGAAATTACTGATCAAAATCTCTTGCTAAGATTTTGCTGTCGACCTGCAACAACAAAAATATGACTAAAGTTAAGAAAATGGCTTACCTTTATCAGGTTTGTTAATTCAGTAACAAGTTTGGCTTTTTGAACATATATTTCTTTGATTTTGGTGCTTGCTTTTCGTTCTTCCTCTTCAAGGTTGCAAGTATCCTGTTCCATCAGCTTTAAACTGTATGAAATGCATAATGATGTGGAAATCAGAGAAAACACAAAGATTGAGCCCAAATTCTTAGGCCCCCTGCTGCTTTATGGGTGGGCTATTTAGCAATGCTACTCAGATGTTAACTGCTAGCTTCTAGATTAAACAATCATTTTATGCAACCACTCAAGATTGAAAATATTTTTTGAGATAGAGTATGTGCCCAGCATAGTCTAGGTAATGCTAGTGGCTAATGATATAGGATCTGGAATCAGAAAGATGGATTTAAATTTCCTCTCTGCCACTAATGAGCAATATAACTGAACAACGTACTTCTCTGAGCTTCAGTTTCCTCATCTATAAACTGTAAATAATAATAGTACTTCTCCACCGGGCTCTGGTGAATACTAAAAAAAGGCAAATTATGCAACACACTTAGTATAGTGTCTGGCCCATAACTGATAAACATTGTTTATAAATATAGTCCCTTCCCTTAAGGAGCTTAACTGTGGAGATCTGATTAAAAGGTAAAAAAATACATAATGAAAAGGCAATACAACAATCCTAAAGGTTAATACTTTGCTCTTTAAGATGAAGAAACTAAGGCTCAGAAGTTGTTACCTAAGATCCCAGATACTAAGTTGTAAGACGTGTTTGACATCAAAGTCCAAGTCTTTCCACTACATCATGTTGCCTCAGGGGAAAACTCAAGAACAAATGATGGAAGCAATAATAAACAATAATGAATAAGTTCAGTGGATGCTGTAGAGAGTGGACTGAATGGTACATGAAGAGACTTTGGGGAAGACAGGGAGGAAATTGGAAAGGCTGGAGTGAAATAAGATTTTGAAAAACTTGAAAGCCAATCTAAAGGAAAGCAGTATTTAATTAAATTTCATGTAGTAAAGGTAGGGAGCTATAAGATATTCTTGAAGGGGGGTAGGAACATGAAAAGCAGATAAACTGGATGACAGTATTCTGGATGCACTGACTGGAGAAGGAGACTAGTCAAGTAGAGACCACTAACCATGTCACCACTGCAGTATTCCAAAGTGAGCAACTGGAGGTATGAGACAGCAGGATGACAATGGCTATGAAAGGTTACTGCACTACAAAAATCAACATTACTTTATGAGGAGAAAGTTTAGCTTTAGACAATTAGTTCAATACAGCAGTCCAACAGTAAATGTCTTGTAGATGATTAAAGATAGAAGTGAAGGGTTAAAGTAGAAAAAAATTCTAGGCAGTCAGTTAGACTAAATAGCTATATCTTGCTTTAAGCAACCAAGGTACATTACTGACTTTTTAAACAAAAGTTAATGGGCAATTGTTTGCTTAAAAATTTTTTTTCTTAAAGCATTTTAAATATTTAATTTTTGAATGTGTTTAGAAACACTATTATATTAGATCAAGGTAAACTTGTACCTTATTCAAGACAATGAGCTGTCATCTATTATGTTATTAATATCTCTATTTTTATTCTATAGCAAAGAAGCATAAAAGAACCATCACAACAGAAAGGTCTGCGCTGTGTCATGACAGGACATGGGAAAAGCCTTGAAACTGGGAGCCACAGTTCCTTTCCCCTAGACTGAACACCCTAATAGCTTTTATCCCATCTTATATATTCCAAGTTTCTATAAAATATCTAAATTCAAAACAAAACAATAAGTTCTGAGAACAATTGCCTGGGATCTCACAGTAAGCTAGCATAATGTAGCAAAGTCATTTATGAGTGAATGATGCACTTAAAGTAATGTAGGAGTGCACAACTTCACTGATGAGTTCACATTCCATGTTGCAATTAAACTTTCACAAACCACATCTTGGCAAGTTTTGATAATCCATACACTGAAAAGTCTATTAAAGCACTTCTCCCTTTTCCAGCTGCATATCTATGTGAGGCCAGATTTTTTTCATATACTTCAACCAAAACATCTCACAACCGAGTGAATGCAGAAGCACATATGAAAAACAACTGACTTCATCTAAAGAGATTTACAAAAATGTAAAGCCAATGTCATTCTTCTTGCTAAATGTATTTTGTTTGGAAAACTTTTTCATAAATATGTTAATGTATGGCTTTATTATCATTTTAATTTCTAATATGGTAAATATCAATAGATATAATCCATAGAAACAAAACTTCCTCAAGGTCCTCAATAATTTTTAAGAACAGAAAGGGGTCCAGGGATGAGAACAGCAGATCAGGGAACAGAAAAACTCACAACACTTAAGATTCACCTCCCTTTGTCCCATGTTCTGGGTAGGAGGGTGTAAGTTTGAGAGAGAAATTGTACACAGAGTGCTGGTGGGAATTGTGTCATCATTACAATGTATAACTAACAATATCCTTATAGTGTTTTTGTACCACCCACCCAACCCCCTTACCCCAAAATAGGCTGAAAGATACCTTCCTAGTTTGGAACTAATTTTTTGTTCCAGTTGTCTTTTCTTGGTTTTCCTTTCAAGAAGCTCCTTCTTCTTTTGTCTAAGTTCATTATCTTTGTGTTCTAGATGTTTGTTTGTCTCACATAAGGCAATCAACCCTGATTCTACTGCTTGCAATTTTCTATTAATTTCCTATGGAATATGCAATATTGTTAATATATTTAAAAAACAGGCTAACGTATTATAACTCCAGTTAATATTCTTTATTAATACTCAAAATAACCAATCTTTAACTTAGATATAAGACATAACACCATACATTCTCTGACATAAATCATACCAATGTTTTCTTAAGTCAGTCTCCCAAGGCAATAAGAAATAAAAGCAAAAATAAACAAATGGGACTTAAACTTACAAGCTTTTGCACATGAAAGGAAACCATAAACAAAATGAAAAGACAACCTATGGACTAGGGGAAAATAGCTGCAAAGGAGGCGACTGACAAAAGCTTAATTTCCAAAATATACAAACAGCTCATATAGCTCAAAAACAATCCAATCAAAAATTGGGCAGAAGACCTAGATAGATAGGTATTCTCCAAAGAAGATAAACAGATGGCCAAGAGGCACATGAAAAGATGTTCAACATTGCTAATTATTAGAGAACTGCAAAGTGAAACCACAACGAGGTACCACCACATACCAGTCAGAATGGTCATCAAAAATGCTGGAGAGGGTGTGGAGAAAAGGGAACCCTCCTACACTGTTGGTGGGAATGTAACCTGGTGCAGCCACCATGGAAAACAGTATGGAGGTTCTTCAAAAAACTAAAAATAGAGTTACCATATGATCCAGCAATCCCACTCCTGGGCATATATCCAGACAAAACTATAATTTGAAAAGTACATGCACGCCAGTGTTCATAGGAGCACTATTTACAATGGCCAAGACATGGAAACAACCTAAATGTCCATCAACAGATGAATGGATAAGGAAGATGTGGTACATACATACAGTGGAACACTACTGAGCCATAAAAAAGAACAAAATAATGCCATTTGCAGCAACATGGATGGACCTAGAGATTATAAGTGAAGTCAGAACGAGAAAGATAAATACCATGTATCACTTATATGTGGAATCTAAAATATGACACAAATTTATTTACAAAACACACTCACAGACATAGAGAACAGATATGCGATTGCCAAGGGAAAGGGGGAGGCAGGGGATGGATGGATTGGGAGTTTGGGATTAACAGATGCAAACTATTATAGATAGAATGGATAAACAACAAGGTCCTACTGTATAGCACAGGGAACTATATTCAATATCCTGTAATAAACCACAATGGAAAGGAATATGAAAAAGTATATATCTATAACTGAATCACTTTGCTGTACCCCAGAAACTAATGCAACACTGTAAATCAACTGTACTTCAATTAAAAAAAAATTTTTTTTTAAATGACCAACCTTTAGCTGTTCTTCTAAGTGTCGTCTTTGCTCTAGATCCACAGTGACTGTGAGAAACTGGGCTACTTTTAGGGATGTGTTACTAGAAATAACTTTGTTTGAATAAAAAGAAGTTTTCACCACAAACTTTTCTTCTGCTGTATAAATTTGTTTTAATCGGGTTTCTTGTATTACCTATAATGTAAAATATGCATTCAGTGCACATCTAAGAATAATTATGACATATTTTTAAAAGGACTAAAGAATTAAAAATACAGATCTCACGAATTTTAGAAGATCAAAATATACTATATTTTTAAAAAAATGTACCCAACATCTCTAAAAAGGTGAGTGATAAAATTCAGGTTATTATTTTGGAAAACAACACTAAGGAAGAGAGAACTGGGAGAAAACCAAAGCAACAACCAAAGTTGCCTATACTTCTACTTCACTATACAAATCTCTCCCAAGTAAGTGTACTTTTGGGACTTTATCTACAGAAGAGATACCAGGAGTCAGCTTCCCTGTAGACTGAACTGTGTTATCTCAACTAACACATTTACTCTCCCCTCCCCTCAGTTATATTGTTCAAAGATACATAATCTTACGTTTAATTCTTGTATATCTGGGGAATACTTAATGCACACACTTTTCAAGGACTTCAAAGACTTTGCATTTTTTGGAGATCTTTTCTCTCAAGAATTTATTTAAGGAGTTTCATAAACTAATGCACATTCTAAACACCCTAACATTGGATCTGTTATTGTTATTTATAAAGAATAGGCTACTGTAGTTTTTTCCAATCTCCAAAGGTTTATTACCAGTGTTATTGTGGCTTGTTTCTCTCTAGAAGTTTAAGTGAAGAGATAAGACATACTTAAGCATACTTAGTTTAATAGGGTATAAACTGGCATCCACATATGCTGAATAATTTGAAATGAAGGGAAAGCCTAGATGAGGTTAGCCTACCCACATTTCATGAAAATAAGTTTTAAGCAAATTGCAACTGACAGATGGTGGGAGTACTCTCAGCAAAAAGAACATTGTTAAGCTAAGGAGGTCAGCAGACAATTTAAGGAGAGACCAGTCTTGGAAATTAACGAGAACAACTGCATAAATAGAGTATAATCATTTACAGAATCTAAAATGTCAGGACTTGATAATAAAGCAAAACTTACACTAAAGAATGTTATTTTTATTCTAAGGAAGTAATATAGCCATTATTGTCATTAGGTAGACATGAAACATTAAGACAGTGAATTTCCTCAATGAAGGTCTGTATCTTCTGAAAGATGGCTAAGGCAATGTCAAGGGCTTTATTAGGTGTCTGACTTTGCTTTACTATATACAATGTTATTTTTCTAGTACAGACAGTAGAGTTAAAGCTCTCTAGATGACTTAACCAAAACGTTAAAAAGTGCATAAAAATAATTCAACTTGAAGCACTGTTCAAAAAGTGAAAGGATTTTCCAAGTGCAGTACTGCTCCTTTCTGCCCCAAAGTAAAGCTATGAAAGCCCTTACCAAATTTTCTATAGTCTTTCTGCAATAGTAAAGAATACCTACCATCCTAAGCTTCAGAGATAGCGCCCTACCTACCTCTGAAGTTATGAGAGAAATTGGATTGGTCTATGTATATAGTCTTGTCCTCTTTTTTTAAACCCCATCTATGAAGACCAAAGAGAGAGGTACACCCACATGGAGAGTTGTATTTTTGGTTTCCCCAAATAGTCACCATAATATAATTTTTAATCAAAGACACAGGCAGGGCTTCCCTGGTGGCGCAGTGGTTGAGAGTCCGCCTGCCGATGCAGGGGACACGGGTTCGTGCCCCGGTCCGGGAAGATCCCACACGCCGTGGAGCGGCTGGGCCTGTGAGCCATGGCCGCTGAGCCTGCAGGTCCGGAGCCAGTGCTCCGCAATGGGAGAGGCCACAACAGTGAGAGGCCTGCGTACCGCAAAAAAAAAAAGAAAAAAAGAAAAAAGACACAGGCAACTTACCATAATTAATAATCGCTTGTCTGTGCAAAATGGGTTAGTAATGAGCCCCCATTTCTATCTTCTGTTAATGAGGTATATAGAGGCCCCGAAATTACAAATGAATATAATAGGGATACTTGTAGAATGGTTGTTTAAAACTTTAAAACACATTCTCTAATAAATTCACTATTATAAATAGCAGTTAGGTCTGTAATTGGGTCCTACAAGCAGTATTAATATGGCAACTTGGTATTAAGGAAAAATCTGTTCTAGAGGAGACTTCTTCCCTGTTTCTCCCTTTGATAAAAGCAATGAAGGTGGTTTGGAGTCTTAGAGATTACTTGTAAGGAGAAGAAAACTCCAAGCAGCATTAGCAGAATATAGGAACTTAGAGTTTATGTAGCTGTACTAGACAGGAAAATGAAATCCTATTAAGGGTGGTCATTCACATGAGATAATCTTAAATGGAAACTTTAAGGGGAGGGCTTACCACAGCAGTTACATATCCTAGCCTACCATCCTAAAGTATAATTTGTCTGAAAAACAGAATACAAGAATTTAAATGACTAAACCGTTAATGTTTGAACAAATGTTTGTCAAGCAAGGCAGAATCACATAAGAGAGCCAGGTGTCTCTTCAGGTTTTAACTTAACTACCCTACATGTATTAAGTTATTTATTTACTCTAGGTCAGCGGTCCCCAACCTGTTTGGCACCAGGGATCAATTTCGTGGAAGATAATTTTTCACAGACCCGGGCTGGGTGGGTGGGGGGGATGATTCAGGCAGTAATGCAAGCGATGGGGAGAAATGGGGAGCGGCAGATGAAGCTTCGCTTGGCTGCCCACCGCTCACCTCCTGCTGTGTGTGCGGCCTGGGGGTCGGGGACCCCTGCTCTAGATAACTCCACACCACTCCTGTTGTCAAGTATTAGTCAACATTCAGTGTCCTATGCCATATTAAAAATGGAAAATACCAAGATAACTTCTGTATGGTTAAAACAATGGCATGTTTCTTTAAATTACAAGTTTTCCTTGACTTTAAGTTAAGAAGTTTTAACAAAACTACATTTTTGGTACTGATTCAGTACTTTCTTACCCGTTCAATTCTTTCTCTGGTTCTTTCAGTTCCTACAGGAACTTCATGAATGTGATACTGGCAGCAGAGGTAACTCATGACAGGATCAGGTGCATCAAATAACTCTCGCAAATAAGAGAAAAATCCATATTGTCTGAAAGGAAAAGCAACTATTAGGTTTTTCTTCTTAAAATATCATTTAAAAAAAATCCTAGTTGACATGTGGTGACTGAACAATAAATAAAAAATAAATTAACAATGGTACAGAGAGTATTTTCTTTGCATAGTTTAGTCACTTAATATTAAGTGATTAATATTCAGATTTATTTCCTTGTCAGAAAAGTTTAACATTTATAATTACAAAACATTAATCTCTTTTTTTGTTGTTTCTACCATTGCTTTTATACAGAATCAAGACTTTATTTACTTATAGCTGTTTTATAATTGCAGTTTTTCCATTTGATCCTTCTGGAAATTATTTTTATATTATGAAGTGATGATTTACCCTTTTATTTTCCCAATAACTAAGCAACTATTTTAGTAGCTTTTACTAAGTAGTCCAATATTATTCCACTGATTTAAAATATCACCATCATATACTAACTGATACCATGGTCTGTTCCTGGGCCTAGATTTTTCCTTAGTTTAGACTTAGGTAGAGATCCTAAAAGGGAATAATACAGCCTATAAGAAACATATTTATGTGACAAAGAAATAATTAAAATATATTTGAGAGAAATGATTATTCAATATTCAAAGTAACAGCTTAGTTCTAATAATATTTTCAAGACTTACTTGAGTTCATTCAATGGTCGTGAAGGTGCTTTGTCTGCATATGAACTCTTAGGAGCAATAACAGCATTCACTCTTAATTTTTTATGGTCACGAACCTTAATATAAGGAAAAGAAAATATTACCTTAATTACCATATACTCAATCTAAATGATTTTTAAAGTTATGGTATTCTTACTGGCATTCATGGGATGATCAGAAATTTGAACACTGACTAGCTATTTAATGGTACTTATAAGAAAATTTTTTACTGTGATATTGTAGCTATGTGTTTTCAAAGAGTACATTTCTTTTTTTATTTCTACTGATAAATTCTATCAAACAGATAAGGAAGCAGTAATACCAAAAACCTTTTCAGAACAAGAAGGAAGGGACAAGTCATTTTATGATTCCACTATAATCCTGACAAAAGTATTACAATATCCCTCATGAACACATATACAAAAATCCTTAACAAAATATTAGTAAACAGAATCCAGCAATATACACGACCAAGTAGAATTTATCCCAGGGATGTGAGATTGGTTAATTTTGAATGCTACATCAATCCAAGTTATTGTATTATCAGAATAAAGTACAAAAGCCATATGATTTTCAGCAAACTAGGAATAGAAAGAAATTTCCTCCACCTGGTAAAGGGCATCTATGATAAGTACACAGCAGACATAATACTTAATTGTGGAATATTGAGTGCTTTCCCCCTAAGCCTGGGAACAAGCAGGGGTATCAAATCACACCACTTCTTTTCAACATTGTCCTAGAGGTACTAGACAATGTGGTGAAGCGCAATAAAGAGGTAAAAGATTAAAAAGGAACAAGTAAAAAGATCTATTTGCAAGGGAATGATTTTCTACACAGAAAGTCCTGTGGAATCTATAAAGCAACTACTAGAATTCAGGAAGTGAATTCAATAGTGTCACAAGATACAGATCAAATGAAAAAAAAATCAAATTGTATCTATGTACTAGCAGTTAACAACTGAAAAATGGATTTGAGAAATCCATTTCTAAGAGTGTCAAAAATCCATAAAATACTTAGGAACACATTTAACAAAAGATGTGCAAGACATAAACACAAAAAAATAAAACACTGCTGAGACAAAATGGGATGGTGCTATGGAAGAATTTCATGGTGGCACAGATTAGCAATGTTCAAACTACTTTCACAGCCTAGAATGCTGTGACTACTTTCACAGCATTCTACACTTGAACAAATCAGTAAATAAATTGATGATAAGGGGGAGAAGGAGGTGTTTTTCACTGCTACAGTAGGAAATTACAGATATGCAAAGGAGAAAGAGTAGAAGGTACCCTGTTGTGTTTGACTGTAACTGGAAGCATCAGTGTGAATTCATGATGCCCTTATGCACTCTTGTTCTCCAGATAAATATAGAAAAAAGGGTTTGCATGCAAGGGCTCAGAAGCAATGAGACACTAGCAGCAATGCACACATCTAACACACAGATCTTGGTTTCTAAAAACTAGGGTTCTTTGGGGAAAAGGCTGATTGTAAGGCCCAGACACAGCAAGGTAAAGGTATAAGTGAACACCTTGCTCTCCCCAAAAGTAAGTACTGCTCAAAATATGTTGGTAAGGGCTTCCCTGGTGGTGCAGCGGTTGGGAGTCCGCCTGCCGATGCAGGGAACATGGGTTCGTGCCCCGGTCCGGGAAGATCCCACATGCCGCGGAGCGGCTAGGCCCATGAGCCATGGTTGCTGAGCCTGTGTGTCCGGAGCCTGTGCTCCGGAACGGGAGAGGCCACAACAGTGAGAGGCCCGTGTACCGCAAAAAAAAAAAAAAAAAAAAAAAAATGTTGGTAAAATAACACAGTGGTCAAGCTGAATGTCTCACTGGCCAAATGTGGTACAATTTGAGCATTAAAATAAATAATGATAGTAATGGATTAAAATCCATAAAACATAAAATTCTATGAATTTTATATAATAAATGAGTAAATAAATGGAGAAGAAAGAGCTCTTCCTTATAGAATACCAACTAATACATATAGAAAGAATGATGAGAATCATTAATGGTTCTTAAACCTACTAGGCAGTTACATAAGCAACAGGATATTTTAAAGGCTCAAAGTATTTCCTCACACATAATTACAAACATAAAAATAGTTTGAATGTAATGTTTGTTTTCAGGACAAATTTATTCCAAGCAATTTATATATTAGGAGACAACTTAAACATTATGTGATTCTCACATTCGCTTAGGTACAATTATATCCGTAACAAATATAAGGTTTTCTCTAGGTGAATGCAAAAAATTGCACCCAACTGAATGGAGCTGTGTAGGAATAGACGTAATTTGTGCACAAATACACAGACACACACACATCCCTCTCAAACATCTACCGGCTGCCTGAGTTCACTACATATTATGAGCCACCCCTCAACCACATCTGGTGTTACAACTTTCCATTCAATTTCAGGTAAGTGCTCTATAATTGTTTTACCTACTACATAATTCACATACGGAACCCTTCCAATGCCTACTTCCACAAGCCAACTTCAGGTCTTTCAATAAGGCACAGGGTTGTAACATACAGTACAGGGAATATAGTCAATATTGCATACTAATTTTGTACATTGTGTAATCCATAAAACATCGAATTACTGTGCTATACACCTGAAACTTATAAGTCAACCATACTTCAATAAATAAAAAAGAAAAAGCACATTTATTGTATCTGCATATTTCTTAATAATTTAACATATGTAAAACTGTGCTTCCCCCTCCCCCACACCATAGCCCCTGTGAGTTTTTATTATACAATTTTGCATAGTACAGTAAGTTTTAGGAATTATATATTGCTTATAGCAAAACCACCTGTACTTTGCTATGGAGAAATAATAAAGCAGGAGAAGACAAGACGGAGTAGAAGGATGTGAGCTCACCTCCTCTTATGGAAACACCAAAATCACAACTAACTGCTGAACTACCTCTGACAAAAAAATGCTGGAACCTACCAAAAAAGATACCCTGTATGCAAAGACAAAGAAGAAGCCACAACGAGATGGTAGGAGCAGTGCAATGGCAATAAAATCAAATCCCATACATGCCGGGTGGGTGACCCACAAACTGGAAAATAATTATACTACAGAAGTTCTCCCACAGGAGTGAAAGTTCTGAGCCCCACGTCAGGCTCCCCAGCCTGGGGGTCTGGCAACAGGAGGAGGAGCCCCCAGAGAATGTGGCTTTGAAGGCCAGCGGGATTTGATTGCAGGAATTCCACAGCACTGGGGGAAACAAACTCCATTCTTGGAGGGCACACACAGGGCCTTGTGTGCACCAGGACCCAGGTAAAAAAGCGGTGACCGGGCTTCCCTGGTGGCGCAGTGGTTGAGAGTCCGCCTGCCGATGCAGGGGACGCGGGTTCGTGCCCTGGTCCGGGAGGATCCCACGTGCCGCGGAGCGGCTGGGCCCGTGAGCCATGGCCGCTGGGCCTGCGTGTCCAGAGCCTGTGCTCCGTGGTGGGAGAGGCCACAACAGTGAGAGGCCCACACACCGCAAAAAAAAAAAAAAAAAAAAAAAAATTAAAAAAAGCGGTGACCTCATAAGAAACTTACCTGCTAGTATTGGAGGGTCTCCTGCGGAGGCTGGGGGGGCTGTCTGTGGCTCACTGTGTGGATGAAGACACTGGTGATGGTAGTTCTGGGGAGTACTCATTGGCATGAGCCCTCTTGGAGGCTGCCATTTTCTCATCAAGACCTGGCTCCACCCAACAGCCTGTAGGCTCCAGTGCTGGGATGCCTCAGGCCAAACAAACAACAGGGTGCAAACACAGCCCCACCAATCAGCAGACCAGCTGTTTAAAGCCTTCCTGAGTAAACAGCTGCCCGATAAACACACCCCTTGACACAGCCCTGCCCACCAGAGGGGCAAGACCCAGCTCTACCCACCAGTGGGCAGGTACCAGTCCCTCCCACCAGGAAGCCTGCACAAGCCTCTCAGACAGCCTCATCCACCAGGGGGCAGATGGCAGAAGCAAGAAGAACTATAAGCCTGCAGCCTGCAGAATGGAAACTGTAATCACAGGAAGTTAGGCAAAATGAGACAGCAGAGGAATATGCTCCAGATGAAGGAACAAGATAAAACCCCAAAAGAACAACTAAGTAAAGTGGAGATAGGCAATCTACCTGAAAAAGAATTCAGAGTAATGACAATAAAGACGACCCAAGATCTTGGAAAAAGAATGGAGGCACAGATCAAGAAGACACAAGAAATGTTTAACAAAGACCTAGAAGAACTAAACAACAAACAGAGACGAACAATACAATAAGTGAAATGAAAAATACACTAGAAGGAATCAATAGAAGAGTAACTGCGGCAGAAATGATAAGTGAGCTGGAAGACAGAATGGTGGAAATCACTGCTGTGGAACAGAATAAAGAAAAAAGAATGAAAAGAAATGAGGACAGTCTATGAGACCTCTGGGGCAACATTAAACACACCGTCACATTATAGGGGTCCCAGAAGGAGGAGAGAGATGGAAAGGACCTGAGAAAATATTAGAAGAGATAATGGCTAAAAACTTCCCTAATATGTGAAAGGAAACAGTCACCCAAGTCCAGGAAGCACAGAGGAAGCACAGAGTCCCACACAGGATAAACCCAAGGAGGAACATGCCAAGATACATGGTAGCAAAATGACAAAAATTAAAGACAAAGAAAAAATATTAAAAGCAATAAGGGAAAAGTAACAAATAATGTACAAGGGAACTCCCATAAGGTTATCGGCTAACTTCTCAGCAGAAACTCTGCAGGCCAGAAGGCAGTGATGAAAAGTGATGAAAAGGAAGAACCTACAACCAAGGATACTCTACCCAGCAAGGCTCTCATTCAGATTCGATGGAGAAATCAAAAGCTTTCCAGACAAGAAAAAGCTAAGAGAATTCAGCACCACCAGACCAGCTTTGCAACAAATGCTAAAGGAACTTCTCTTGGTGGAAAAGAAAAGGCCACAACTAGAAACAAGAAAATTATGAATGGAAAAGCTCACTGGTAAAGGCAAACATATAGTAAAGGTAGGAAATCATCTGCTAAACAAATATGATATCAAAACCAGCAATTATGAGGAGAGCACAAAGGCAGGATATTGGAAATGCATTTTAAATTAAAAGATCAGCAACTGAAAACAATCTTGTTTATATATAGAATGCTATACCAAAACCTCATGGTAACTGCACATTGAAAATCTACAATAGATACACATGCAGAAAAGAATAAGGAATCCAAACACAACACTACAGTTAGTCATCAAATCACAAGAGAAAAAAAGACGAAGGGTAGAAAAAACACCTACAAAAACAAATCCAAAACAATTAACAAAATGGCAATAAGAAGCTACAGTCATCAAAACAGTATGGTACTGGCACAAAAACAGAAATACAGATCAATGGAGCAGGATGGAAAGCCCAGAAATAAACCCATGCACATATGGTCAATGAATCTACAACAAAGGAGGCAAGACTATACAATGGAGAAAAGACAGTCTCTTCAATAAATGGTGCTGGGAAAACTGGACAGCTACACATGAAAAAATGAAATTAGAACATTCTTTAACAAGTTACATATAAATAAACTCAAAATGGATTAAAGACCTACATATAAGACCAGATACTATAAAACTCTTAGAGGAAAATATAGGCAGATCACTCTTTGACATAAACTGCAGCAATGTCTTTTTCAAGCTGTCTCCTAGAGTAATGGAAATAAAAACAAAAATAAACTCAAAAGCTTTTGCACAGCAAACGAAACCATAAACAAAATGAAAAGATAACACACAGAATGGGAGAAAATATTTGCAAAGAGATTAACAAGGGATTAATTTCCAAAATTTACAAACAGCTCATGCGGCTCAATATCAATAAAACAAACAACCCAATCAAAAAATGGGCAGAAGACCTAAACAGACATTTCTCCAAAGAAGATTTGCAGATGGCCAAGAGGCACATAAAAAGATGCTCAACATCGCTCATTATTAGAGAAATGCAAATCAAAACTAAAATGAAATACCACCTCAAAAAAAAAAAAAAAGGACTTCCCTGGTGCCACAGTGGTTAAGAATCTGCCTGCCAATGCAGGGAACCTGGGTTCAAGCCCTGGTCCAGGAAGATCCCACATGCTGTGGAGCAACTAAGCCCATGTGCCACAACTACTGAGCCTGTACTCTAGAGCCCACGAGCCACAACTACTGAGGCCACGTGCCATAAGTACTGAAGCCTGCATGCCTAGAGCCCACACTCCACAAGAGAAGCCACCGCAATGAGAAGCCCGTGCACCGCAACGAAGAGTAGCCCCCGCTTGCCCCAACTAGAGAAAAGCCCGCAAGCAGCAACAAAGACCCAATGCAGCCAAAAATAAACAAATAAATAAATATATTTTAAAAAAAGAAACATCACCTCACACCAGTCAGTATGCCCATCATCAGAAAGTCAACAAACAATAAATGCTGGAGAGGGTGTGGAAAAAAGGGAACCCTTTTGCACTGCTGGTGGGAATGTAAATTGGTACAGCCACTATGGAGAATAGTACGGAGGTTCTGGATAGAACAGTGCGGATAGACCTGGAGATTATCATACTAAATGAAGTAAGTCAGACAGAGAAAGACAAATATCATATGATATGGCTTTATGTGGAATCTAAAACAACTGATACATATGAACTTATTTACAAAACAGAAACAGACTTACAGACTTAGAGAATGAATTTATGGTTACCAGGGGGGAAGGGTGGGGGGGAGGGACAGATTAGCAGTTTGGGATTGACATGTACACACTGCTATATTTAAAATACACAACCAACAAGGACCTACTGTATAGCCCAGGGAACTCTACTCAATATTCTGTGATAACCTAAATAGGAAAAGAATTTGAAAAAGAATAGATACATGTATATGCATAACCGAATCACTTTTGCTGTATACCTGAAACTAACACAACATTGTTAATCAACTATACTCCAATATAAATTAAAAATTAAAAAAACAAAAAAATCAATAAAGCAAATAGGGCAAAATGTGCATAATTATTGTAAATCTGGGTAAAAGGTATATAGGAGCAGATGTAGGACTCTTGCAACTTTTCTATAAGTTTGAAGTTATATCAAAATAAGTTATTAAAAAAAATAGAGTGGAGGTATAGATGAAACAATATTGGCCATGAGTCAACGTATCGATACTAGTATGCAGAATTCATTTAAGTTTTAAAAATCTATTGTTTTAGTGGCTACACTAAATAAAATTGAATTATACAATGAGAAAGTAATTTCCTTTTCAATTCCCTTTCAATATTTCTAATCATACCAATGAGTAAGTTACATACGGTGTCATCATGTCTCTAACTCCTTATTACCTCCTTTTAAAAAAATCATATCATCTGCTTTCGAGTAGCAACAGTACAGATCTAGGATTTACTAATACTGCTTTTACTGTCTTTACTGTAATGTAAATTATTTGTTTTTCTAATTTGGTAATGACATTATACTTCCTTTCAGAATATTTCATTTCAGTAACAAGAAGTGAAGTGAATTAAAGAAAAATTTTAAATAATAATATAGTTAGTACCCAGATATGGCAAAAAATTGTGATGGTAGTACACGGTAGTATGCAGAAAATAGCAAACACCATGAAGAAGGTTTGTAAGTTACTGACAGATGGGAAATGGTACTCTAGTACATATAATTACAGGAGGAGGTTATATACAATATATTTCAAAATTTAAAACATACATACAAAAAGTGATACATGTAAGAGGAAGTTCCAGTCCTAATGATGAGCCCCTATGGAAAGTTGTCACAGTACAAGAAAAAAAAAAAAAGGCCAAATTTCCAGGAACCTGTCATATTATTAATATATGGTTCAAGTTCTTAGCACAGGGGAAGCAGCATGAGTTTTTGAGGCAAATCCAGTTACTCAGTGTAGGCTAAGCTGGCCATTTGCAAAACAGAAATCATCTAATTACACCTGACTACAGGCCCTTCACACTGTGTCACGTCTCACAGACTTGTAATCCAAGTAACCTACTTCTTCAGTGACATCAGTTCAAGAACTCACTGTTTAGGCTTAAATAGTTCTAAATAACACAAATGCTTAACCTTTTGGAGACCATTTTATAATTCTGTAGATTCAACTTTTTTATCCAGTCATCTTTTATTCACATTCCCTGTCAAATCCAAACCAGAAGGAGGGCAGTACGTAAAAGCCAAAGAAAGTAAAGATTCTTTCCAATCACTTGTGTACCAGAGAAATAGAGGACTACTTAAGCCGATTCATGGTCCTGTCCTTACTTAGACTTACTAGAAAAAGTTTAAACAAAATAAAATCTAAACCTCATCTTTCCAGGGCTTTTTAAAAAGTAGAAGGCGTATTGCAAAAGGAAAAAGAAATCTTACTGGCAAGGATAGTAACATACATAGCTAACAATATGTATTATATAGCTATATAACAATATATAATAAAAACAATAGTACCCAACAAACTGTTCTAAACTTTTTCATTTAATAAATTATTTAATCATCACAACCATCTTTTGAAGTAGATATTATCTCCACTTTATAGTGAAGAAATTAAGACACAGAACATTTAGTCAACTTGCTGAAATCAGCAGTAAAGTCGGAATTCAAAGCCTGGTAGCCTATCTGTAGAGTCTATACTCTTAACTAAGCCATGATGTCTTCCAGTGGCTTATATTCTTGGTCAGTAGTGTTTTTCTAGTCAGATACAGAATTCTCATTCTTTTTAAAGTTTTTTATTTATAATAAGCAACAACATTATATTCCCCTCCAAAGAAAAACTGAGTTCATTCCAATACATTTCCTGAAAGGATGTCCAAGACCAAAGTCTCATCATTATGATGTTTCTCTTAAAACAATGTGACAGAATTACTCTTCACATTAATTCCCAATGGGAATTTCAAAGAATGTTAAAGACGGAATTATGGGCTGTTGTTCCTCTTATAAAACTAATTCAATCCTCAGTGGTATAGACAAAAGAAATTAGCAAATCTGAATGATTTTACACAAGAGTTACTGCTGGTAAAATAAGTCATTATCATTTTTTGCTCTAGGTTGAGGTTGAAAACTCAAGCACTGGAAGCTAAGTGTGAAGTGAATTAAAATATTACAGTACTTGCCTCTTTGAGGAAAACCTCCATATCTTCTTGACTTTCAAACACAAAAGCTCTCAAGTCATTTGATGGAATATGATTTTCAATATATTTGGCATTTTTGTTATCTTTCATATTGATCTAAACAAAACAAAAAGAAAATAAAAGTTGATTTTCATGAAACCCAAACTGACTACTAGAACATAATTATACTTAACTTAGATTTATTTAATTAAGTTAAATAAATCCTTGAGAAAAAAGTAGACCAAAAAAGAACAGTTTGGTATTGAAGAGTCAACATTTTAAAACATCTATTTAATTTACTGTCCAAGACATAGTAAAACAAAAGCCAAGACTTAAACAGCACCTAACGCATATTGATTTTGATACCATCTAAGAAATAAAAAGTTCCCTTCTGGCCAACTCACTGAAAACATTTGAAATAGGGTTAGATTGTAACCTGAGTATAAACATTTCTCATCTGTCCCCAAACTTTTAATATTTTTCTTCTTAATCTTTAAGAGGAATTCATGCTATCCATGGCAAAAACTAATTAGTATAAAAATACAAAGGCCTAAATAAAACTTTATGAAACTAATGAAAAAACTTGCTATGGATTAATTATAACTATTGGTGCTTTCAAGAGAAACCCTAGGTTTGTACTACTAGAGCATAAACTTAATTACTTACTCCAAAACTACTAACTAATTAGACATTTTTGTACTTGAGGCTCAGTGCTATGGAAGATACTAAGATAGTTCAAGATCTAGGGCTCTGGGATCAGACAGATGTCACTTCCATTCCTATGTATGACCTTAATCAAGTACCACCTAAATCTCTGAAAGCTTTAGTTACTTCATCCTAAAATGGGTAGAGTAAAACAGTCTATATCTCAAGAGACTAAATGTGGATTAAAAGAAATAATACAACAAAAAAATTAGTAGACTGCTTGTCACATAAATGTTGGTACTATTTTAAATTACAGAATATTGATCAGTATAGAAAGATGGGAAAACTAAAAAACAAGCAAACAAATGAAAAAATCAAAGCCACATAAAATACCATCACCCAGACATAAACACTACAAACATTAGATGTCTACTGTTTCACTTTTCTTTCTTTTTTTTTTTTTTTTTTTTTTTTTTTTTTTTTTTTTTTTTTTTTTTTTTTTTTTGCGGTACGCAGGCCTCTCACTGTTGTGGCCTCTCCCATTGCGGAGCACAGGCTCCGGATGCGCACGCTCAGCGGCCATGGCTCACGGGCCCAGCCGCTCCACAGCATGTGGGATCCTCCCAGACCAGGGCACGAACCCGTGTCCCCTGCATCGGGGACAAAAAATTTCACAATTTTTTTGGTACCAAGTTATTGGGTTGGCCAGAAAGTTCAATTGGTTTTTCCATAAGATGGCTCTAGTGCTTAGTTGTCTTTAACTTCGTTCAAAACAACTGTGTTAGACTATATTGTGACAGCTGTCATATCAGCGTGTATTTAAAAAAATATCAAAATTGGTGAATTTTTGTGTAGCCATTTTAATATTGAAGATGGAAGAAAAAAGCAACATTTTTGGCATATTATTCTTTATTATTTTAAGAAAGGTAAAAACGCAACTGAAATGCAAAAAAAAGATTTGTGCAGCATATGGAGAAGGTGCTATGACTGACTGTGTCAAAAGTGGTGTGCGAAGTTTCGTGCTGGAGATTTCTCGCTGGACAATGCTCCACAGTCGGGTAGACCAGTTGAAGTTGACAGCTATCAAATCGAGGCATTATTTGAGAACAACTGACTTTATACCAAGAAGGAGATAGCCGACATACTCATAGTATCCAAATCAAGTGTTGAAAATCATTTGCATCAGCTTGGTTATGTTACTTGCTTTGATGTTTGGGTTCCACATAAGTTAAGTGAAAAAAACCTTCTTGACCGTATTTCTGCATGTGATTCTCTACTTAAGTGTGATGAAAACATTCCGTTTTTTTAAAAAAATTGTGATGGGCCATGAAAAGTGGATATTGTACAATAATGTGGAACAGGAGAGACTGTGGGGCAAGTGAAATGAACCACCACCAACCACACGAAAGGCCGGTCTTCATCCAAAGAAGGTGATGTTGTGTATATGGTGGGATTAGAAGAGAGTCCTCTATTACGAGCTCCTTCCGGAAAACCACACGATTAATTCCAACAAGTACTGCCCCCAATTCAACCAACTGAAAGCGGCACTTGGCGAAAAGCATCTGGAGTTAGTCAACAGAAAATGCGTAATCTTCCATCAGGATAATGCAAGATGGCATGTTTCTTTGATGACCAGGCAAAAATGCTTATTGCTTGGCTGGGAAGTTCTGATTCATCTGCCATATTCACCAGACATTGCACCTTTGGATTTCCATTTATTTCACTCTTTACAAAATTCTCTTAATGGAAAAATTTTCAATTCCCTGGGAGACTGTAAAAGGCACCTAGAACAGTTCTTTGCTCAAAAACATAGAAAGTTTTGGGAAGACGGAATTATGAAGTCACCTGAAAAATGATAAAAGGTAGTGGAACAAAAGGGTGAATACGCTGTTCAATGTTATTGGTGAAAATGAAAAATGTGTCTTTTGTTTTTACTTAAAACCCAAAGGAACTTTTTGGCCAACTCAATACTTTGTTGTAAGGAATGGGACAAATGAAAAAAATAATAAAGTGAGTGTCTGCTACAACTTACAGAAAGGGTAAAGTAACCCCAATATCACCATAGGAAGTCATCTTTTTTTATAGTTATGGATAAGCCAGCATAGGACTTAGCTCTCATTATCACTCTCCCCCAGGGTGCATTTATCAGAGACATTCTGCCATATCAGATTCTGGGGCCCATATCTTGTATAAGTTGGCTACACAGTCATCTATTTTTTGGATGAATTTCACCTGCTTGTTTAGGTAATGAGTCTCAGAGAAGTCACACAAGTAGGGGTCATTTTTTTTTTTTTTTTTTTGCGGTACGTGGGCCTCTCACTGTTGTGGCCTCTCCCATTGTGGAGCACAGGCTCCGGACGTGCAGGCCCAGCGGCCATGGCTCACGGGCCCAGCCGCTCCGCAGCATGTGGGATCGTCCCGGTCCGGGGCACGAACCCGCGTCCCCCGCATTGGCAGGCGGACTCTCAACCACTGCGCCACCAGGGAAGCCCCCATTTTTGTCATTGGTCAGTTTGTGCATTTACAGTAGTGACTGATTCACAATTTTTTCCAAGTGTAGTACACACTCCATTGCATTCATTGTCTGGTTTCCTGATATCCTGAAGGAAGATTTGGCCCCTTGTTGGTTCTGAACCTTCATCAGCTTCTTAGCAAGCTCCTTCTCCTCATGAGATTGGTGAAGAAAATATCTGGCAAAGTTCTTTAGAGCCACATCTTTACAAAGTAGTAAGACATGGACAGGTAGACATAGGAGGTGTAGCTTTCCAAGATGTTCTGGTGGTTGATGGCAGACTCCTGTTTCACAATTTTTAAAAATGAAATCTTTCTATATGCCCTATCCTGTAATCTGTTTTATAAGTCATTAACATATCATAAATGTCCCTTTATATTAGTAAATAGAGACCTATGGCAACATTTTAAAGGCCTATGGAGGTGGTACAACGCATTTCAACTAGATTTTGAAGGGTTAGGTAAGTGTATGTGCAGGATACAGTTGGAAGAAGGTGGTAGGAAAAGTAAAAGGTTGTTCCAGGAAGGGTAAGATAACAGAGTATCTCCCTTTATCTCAGACTCAAATGTAATTTAAAAAGTAAATATATGCCAGCTAGTAATCTGACTTGGTGATAGGCTACTATCAGGAAATCAAGTGATAAGAGGATGACAAATCTAGTAAAGTCCAGAAGTATTGTTTTGAGGTTGGCATTTAAATAAGAATCTGTTGAAAATTACACTTGCATTCTAATTTATAATACTAAGGGTCACAGTATTTCTTCTTGTGTTTTCTTTTAATCCTTACTGGATTAATTAAAACAGTAATGTCTGCATCCAAAATAGGTATTCCCTTCTTGATCGAGCAAAAATATTCTAATAATTCATACCTGAGCAAGAAGAGAATACAGTATTATGCACAGTAATTTTGCTAATATAATGCAAACTGTATGAAATGACTTTGAATAAATCATAATATAAACAGGAGTTACAGAATATAGAACTCTTCATGAATCCTACAAGGATCTACAGTGAATTTTTTCCAAAAAAAAAAAAAATCATCTAGCAAAATAATCCTTTTATCATTTTGAAGTAAGTTTTAAGTGTGTGTGTGTATAAAATATGTCATTAGCAAAGAATGTGGGTTTTACTTTTTCATTCCTTCTCATGGCCCAACTTACCATTTAAAATATTTTAGATGGAGAATTTCCTAGTAAATCCACACCCACATTTCATTAAATGATTTACTAAATACAGCTTGCCCTATTCTTGATGACTCATGATCATTAATAAGACTTATCAAATGTTTATAAGGTCAATAAATTGTTGGTTTCATTCTCAGAATCCTCAGAATGCTTTATTTTTGTAGCAGATGATTTTGTTGTCTATCCTGTCAGGTGTTCCGTATCAACTGTATTTATTTATAGCAGTTTTCTACCCCTTTGACAGCATTTAATATATTGCCTATTATAACCGAAGAATAGCAATTGCCAGAAGGAAACCAGCTAACCAAGTTTACACATGATTCTTGGTCAATAAGTTGCCAGTTTCATACTTCTATCAAGAAAAAGTTCATAGGTTTATTATCAAGGACCCTTTAAAAAGCTCATGTATGGATTCAGCAGCATACCAGATGCCACAAGTCTACTAATGGAAAAGCAGGGTGTTAACAAGACTAAGAATTCTTAAAACAACAAAACCTACAATGATTACAATAATAAAACTAACAGATACTACTAAGATGAACAAGTTTCTTACCGTGAGCATTATGGGTTCACAGACTCTTTGCTTAAATTTGTCTCTGTTATTTCTCAGCCATAAAACAGCATCATATGTATCACGGTATCTCTGTCTCAGCTTATCTTCCTTTTGATTCATAAGGTTGTCAAAACGCACAATATGATCATCCACACCTAAAATTGGAAAATAAAGCATTATTCCTCTGAAAACTTTAATTAGCAAAATAATCTATTAATAACATAAGAGAGTATCTTAGATCTAAAGGTTATAAACACCACTCAGCAAGTACCCAACACAGTGAAAAAGACCCACCCTGGACAAATCATTCTTAAGTTTCTAAAGACCTGGGATAAAAGATGATCTTTAAACTACCAAAAATAAATAGGTCACAAACAAAATAATGAGAAAACACTAGATTTCCTATCAAAAGACAATGGCAATAGGCCTTCAGAATTCTGAAAGAAAAATTATTTTCAAGCTAGATTTTTATAAAACCAAAATAAAAAAGGGGATAATGAAGTAAAGATTTTTCAGGGATGCAAAGACTCAAATTAATTCCCAAATATCTCTTCTTAGGAGGTTATGTGAAGATATACTCTTACAAAACAAGGAAGTAATTTAAGAAAAATGAAGACACAGAATTCAGGAATAGCTTTTTATTCAACACAGAAAAGGTGTGAGACAAGTCCTAGGTAACAGTCATACAGGAGACCTTGAGAACAATCAGTTTAGATGGGAGGAGGATGGAAGGTCTCAGAACTCAAGAGAATGCCTGATAATTTTTTTTCCCAATTTAAGGAAATGCTAAAGTAAATGGTGTTTCTAAAAAGTGGTAAATTAAAATCCTAAAAAAAAATTATCAATGAACAGAAATTAGATCATAATGCACTACTTGGCTCTGCTGTGAGCAAGTTTTATTGTTGTAATAACATAAATAATACTTAATATTTCTAGCTAGTAGAATCAACCCATAAACAGACCATATAAAAACTTAATTATGGTTCTCAATAAAATATGTTTTCAGCCTTTAAACTATAAAAACCAGAGTACATATTAAAGAATTAAAGGGAGGAAAGTAAAAAGAAAGGCTAGGAATACCAGTATTTTTAGCTTATAAATGTGCATTCAAGCATTATCAACAAATGTTAAATGACAAAAAAAAGAATATTATTGGTAATAAATAAACATTAATAAATGTTAATGATTACTAATATTAATATAATAATCCCATTTGGGGAATTACAATAATAGGTAGGGGAGGTGTCATGAGTTGAAATCCACATCTGAAGCAACAAAATATTAAAAGATGATATCTAAAGTTGATTAACCAAGACATGGTAAAATAAAAATATGATTAAGATATATGAAAGACTATTAGAAAAAATTACTGGAATAGTTAAGAGTGCTTACTCTTTTTTTTTTTTTTTTTTTTTTTTTTTTTTTTGGACGCGCAGGCTCAGCGGCCGTGGCTCACGGGCCCAGCTGCTCCGCGGCATGTGGGATCTGCCCGGCCGGGGGCACGAACCCGCATCCCCTGCATCGGCAGGCGGACTCTCAACCACTGCGCCACCAGGGAAGCCCCCAAGAGTGCTTACTCTTGACAGTGGGTTTGGAAGTTGGAAAGGCACTGGGCCACCCTTCTTGTCTAGTGTTATTATTTTTTTTAAACCATACACGTAGCATTTTGCTAAACATATAAACAAACTTTTTTACTAACTGACCTTAGTCATATATACTGAGCAGACAGAATGTAAGATCTCTTCTAACTGAATAATGCTATAGATCTAGCCACATGGTCTATAGCAAAGACAAAAAAAGATGAAATTGGACAGGCTTCAAGGAGCAAAGCTAATGGAAGATTATGAAGGCTAGAATGAAGAGCTTAAATTTGACCTGCGAAATAACAGAAAAGTGAGTGACTAAAGAAAATACAGCAAAGTATTTTTAGAGAATTAAATCAACTGCCATAATCTGACATAAGACAACAGTCTGCTTGCGGCAAATCATTACACAATAGATATAGGTAATTAAGACACTAAAATGGAAGAACTGAAGTGAGCTTCCTCAACAAGCAGACATGAACACGTAGAGACATGACCAGGGGAAGAAGAAAGCCCATCAACAGAGACACATCTCCATTTTATAAACATGTCTTCACTGTAAGTTTAAAAAAACTTACTCTTCTTCTCCTTCTCTAGAGTTTCCCTCTCTCTACGCTTATCAATTATCTCGCCTTCACATAATGCCTTTTCATCTTGAACTCGTCTCAGATCATTTGTAATAGCATCAATTTGGGGTTGAAGGTTCTCACAGTTTTCTGTGGTCCTCAGTTCATTTTGCAAATCTTCTATCATTTTGCGGGTATTACTTATTCTCCTCTGTCGATCATGCTCTTCATTTTGTTTTACTGTTAAAGCCTGCTGAAGCTCCTCAATCTAATAAAACAAAAGCAGGTTAGCACTGGAGATTGTTTTTTCTCCTGGTTTATTAAGCTTTTATAGTAAAAGTTTTAAAAATGCAAACAACCTAAGAACATGGGTTTTTTTCTCACTAAAAGGTATCCTATTAGAATTAAACTGTACTCCTACCAGACTACCTGTCTCTTTATTTGTTCAGCAATACATTCCAAGTACCTAGGGCAGTGGTTAGCATATAGTCAGCATTCAGTAAATATTTGCTAAATAAACGAAATATTTATAAAGCCAATCAGCAGATTTCTAAATATTTATAGGAAGATTTCACATACTATATATCATAAAACTGAAAACAGTCACATGGTATACCACAGACTTTCAATAAACCAGCAATAGAAATGATGGTGAAGATTATGTCACCCTACTAGTTTAAAACCACAATAAACTATTTTCTTTCCATTAAATTATTTTCTACTAGCACTTCAAATTAGTATTTTGAGATTTTAATCCTCAATCTGTATGTTTATATTCAGGGTAAGTCATTAAAAAAAACCAGATCATGCAACTTACCAGTGGAATTTTTATCAAAACCATACATGGTCTACCTAAGACAGAGTTATGATTTTCTTCAAGACACAGACGCATACATCCAATTTATTTTTTGCAAAAATAGAATTTTGTGTTAAATTAGATAAGGTTAACATATCATATAATTTGCTTATTAGTTACCTTTCTTTCCAAGTCAAATTTACTCCCTCTTCCTCCCCATTATAAATGTATATTTATGACATATTCAATATAGAAAATATGGAAAATATAGAAACTTAAAACAAATAAAAAACACCTAAAATCTTAAGGTCCTTAAACATTTACATTTTAATGCCAGCCTATATCCATCAATAGAGCATATACGTTTTAGCAAATGGCATCACTCAAAATGTATTGAGAGCAGTTTCTCATTACCTCCATGTCCTTGCAAAAGAAAAATTTAATACCTGCATAATGTTCTTTTATACAGATATACCACATTTTATCCCATTCCCTACGGTTGGAAATTTGGGTTATAATCAATTTTCTTTTCTAAAAGACAGTGTCAAGATAATGAACTGAATACATGCCAAAATCTCCTCTCCTATAACAAACATGCAGAAGTGAAAGATAAAATATTATGTTTGAAAAAATTAAAGCTGTGTGTGTGTGTGTGACTGAAAATTAACAATGTTCAATGGGCCCAAAAGAAGGAAGCAGACAAGAAGCCACAGTGTTCAGCCAGGAAACCCATGAAGTCCAAGGCTTTTAGAAGAATAAACTGGCATGTCATGGGAGACAGAGAATTAAGAATCACCAAACACATGAGGAAGTCCAAGTCCATCAAAAAGGGACAAGAAATTTAACAAATATAACCTCTACAATCCCAGCAAAATAGAGACCACCAAGTTACCAAAAATCACTGGGCTGCGGAATAAATTTTATACCAAGAGGTCTTTGTCTGACGTTGACCTGAAAAACTGAAAAAGCAGCTTGATGGTCCCATGTCCTAGCTAAATTTTCTGAGTTCTAACTTTAACTCATTTACCACCTTCATCCAAAAAACTACCATAACTAACTAATTCCATCACACCCATGTTTAGCTCAGGCACAGTTAAGTCCAAGCCTCCTGGATCATGCATGTTCGCTAGGATACCATCCCCATTACTGCTCTCTATCTTCAATTTCTCTGTATGTTCTTTCTTCTTGTTCTAGCTAAAACTTGGCTATTCCTGGAAGATACTTCTCCCTAAAGACCTTTCAAATGGTGACCTTTTCCTGCCATAACTCTTCAGAGCACTTCAGGACTCAGAAGTGGGGAGGGTGTCCTCATCAATCTCCACTGTACTACTTCCTCTGTTAATTGAGCCCCACCTCAGATCTTTGAAGATCATATGATCAGACTTTAACACCCATTAGCTTTGCTATGTTAACTACCCGCCTCAAAGTCTTTCCTCACCCTCTTCATTCACTGATGCCTTTAGCACCTGACTCACTGTCTTTCTCTCCATCATTATGCTGGCCATAATGGAACTCCAACATACATACAGAAAACCAGTCTAACTCTTTGGCCTCTGTGTTCCTTGACTTCTTCAACTGTCTTTTCCTAAATACCACCTCAGCCACCTTCTACTACAGTTATATTAGATTATATCTATAGCTATATCTCTGACTAGATCATGTATATCACCAAAAATCATACCACCTCTGAAAACTATTTCCACAATCCTACTCTTTGATCACCATCTCCTTTCCTTACATTTTTACTTACTATGGTCTTCCTACTGCAACTATCCTTTGACTGCACAGGGTCCTGTAATCCACTGACCCTACTATCTTTTCACAATCCACCATCCCCCTCATTCCTTTCCTTAACTGGCTGAGGTTCCACAAATCTAGAATCACTCCCTTGCAAAAGCCTCTTGACCCTCCACCATTCCTATGTCACATTAGCAAGGAAAAAGCTTAGTCCTTATTAAACCTAAATATATACTTTCTATTTATCTGTATCTAAACAACTAAACTAATTGGAGAAACTCTTGAAAACAGGTCTTACTTCAAATTTATGGCCACAAAACTTAAAGAGGCACTCAGAACTCTCAGGAAAACCTACTACATTTTTTTAATAAATGTATGTTCTCATTCTGAGATGAATTCACATCTTTTCCTCCTTCCTCAATCTTATATTGCTAAAGGCTCTCTACTCACCCAGCTAATGACCCTGTCTCATATTTCATTAACAGCAGTGTTAAAGTCAGAGTACTCTGATCAGAGTACTTTTCCTCCTTTCAAAACCATCAACCTACCTCCATCTGTACTCACTCTGCTTTACCTTATATAATGTAAGGAGACTTCTTGTAGCTACCTAAATCTACCCCTCCAGGGCTACTCCAAGCAGTGTTTCTCAAATTATTTATGGTGAAGAATCATTAAAATAATTCTAAGTAATCACAAGTCAACTTTTATCAATTACAACTACAAAAAATTGCTAATAATCATTTTGGTCAATTAGCAATAATCAATTGCTAATATAACAGTTTGGCAATTCCTTCAAAAGTTATACGTACACTTATGATAGTCACTTCTAGGAAATTATCCAAAAGAAATGAGAGCATATGTTATATTACATAAGAACTTGTACAAGAATACTCATGGCATTTTTTGGTAATAGCCCTAAACCAGAAACAACCTAAACGTCCATCAACAGATGAATGGATAAACAAATCGTGATCTCAAGAAAAGTGGAAAAAAAAAATCAAAGTGAACAAAGATAAAAATACAACATATCCAAATTTGCAGGACACAGGTAAAGCAGTGATGAGAGGAAAACTTATAGCATTAAGTGCATACACACAAGAAAAGAGGAAAAGTCTCAAATCAATAATCTGAGCAGAAGCTGGAAAAAGAGCAAAACAAACCCACATCAAGCAGAAGAAAGGAAGTAATAAAAATATGAACGACTTTAATGAAATTAGAAAAATAACAGAGAAAAGCCAATGAAACAAAGAGCTATTTCTTTGTAAAAAACAATAAAATTAACACACCTCTAGCAAGAATGATCCCCACCCTCATACCCCACCAAAAAAAAAAAAAAAAAAAGACAAAGTAGACACAAATTACCAACATCAGGAATGAAATAGGGTTAACAGTATCACTACAGAACCTACTGACATCCAAAGGATAATAAGAGAATTTATGCACAAATAAATTTAACAATTTAGACAAAATGGACCAATTCCTAAAAAAACCCACTAATTACCACAACTCAACCAATATGAAATAGATTATTTGAATTGCCCTGTAACTATTAAACAGAATTCATAATTTTAAAACTCCAAAAACAAATCTCCAGACCATGATAGTGTTATTTGAGAATTATTCAGAATATATAAAGAAGAATTAACACAAATTCTACACAATCTCTTCCAAAACTGAGAATAGGAGGGAACACTTCCCAGTTCATTTTAAGAAGCTCGTTATTATCTTGGTAACAAAAGCAGGCAAGTATGAAAAGAAAACCACAGAATATTGCTTCTGAAGATAGACACAAAAATCCTTTAAATGTTCGCTAACAGAATTCAACAATACGGAAAAGGAGTTATAAATTTATATACCATAACCAAACAGGGTTTATTTCAGAAATGCAAGGTTGATTTGATATTCAAAAATCAATGTAATCCATCATTTTCACAAGCTAAAAATGAACATGTGCATGATTGTATCAACAGATATGCAGAAAAAACATCTGACAAAATCCAACACTCACTCATGATATTCTCAGAAACACAGGAATAGAGCAGAACTTCCTGAACTTCCTGATCTATAAAAAACCCTACAGCTAACATTATACTTGATAGTGAAAAAATGAATGCTTTCCTCCTAAGACCAGGAACAAGGCAAGGATGTCCACTCTAACCATTCTTATTCAACACAGTGCTGGAACTTCTAGCCGGTGCAATAGGCAAGAAAGGAAATAAAGGGCATAAAAATCAGAATGGAAGAAATAAAGCTATCTCCATCTGTAGATGACATGACTGCTTATAAAAGAAACACCCCAAGTAAACCATTAAAAAAATAAGGAACAGAGAAAAAGAAAAATCAAAAGAAAAACTTGAGTATTATCCAACAAAACAGAGAACTTATATGCTGAAAACTACAAGATACTGATGGAAAAACATCAAAGATCTAAATAAATGGAGACATACCGTGTTCAGAGTTTGGAAGATTCAACATAGTAAAGATTTCAATTCTCCCCAAATTGACATACATTTAATGCAAGTCCCATTAAAATCCTAGCAACATTTTTCTGTAGATATAAAAAGATTTGGCTGTCAGCAGG